GGCAAATTCTGGACAAGTAGAAGAACATCCTTCCCCTCGGAAACTTTGGCTGGCTGGGCTTCAATCGTGACTTGGGCAGTGGTGGGCGGGTTCCAGAAGATTAAAAGTGATGCTAGGAGGTGGAGAGAGCATCAGTCAATATTGAGACCTATGTATTGGGGTAAAAAGATGGGGCCCTGGGTCCTGAGAGGATCTCTTCAATCATCAACCTTGAAGATACACACACAAACACACACACACATGCCCCATTTGTGTGTGTGTAATTGTGTGTTTGTGTCCTACTGTTCTACTGGGTCAAGGTCAGTGGCACGAACCTCATTCCTTCAAAGCTTCTGACCTCGGCATTTTTCTCTTTGGAATCCTCTTCCCCAGGGGTCTGCACGGCTCCCTCCACACTGCCCTCAGGTCCTGCTCACATCAGGGCATCCTTAGACTTCTTTCCTGACACCTCCTTCAGAGACCCTGGGTCTTCCCTTTCTGACTTTTCCCTGCTCTGCTCCCTCCGGAGCTCTGGTCAACACCTGACCTCACATTCTAGATCTCTTTGCATGTCTGTCTTCCTGCCATGAGAGCATGAGCTCCGTGAGGACAGGGACTTTTGTGATCTTGGTTGCACCCCAGTGCCTCAGAGAGGCTGTAGACTCCTGTACATGTGAGGGTTCCCAGGGGCCTCCATGCCCGGGGTGTTTTGTTTGTTTCTTTCTTTCTTTCCCCAATTGTTGAGGTTTTTGGCTGAGGACAATGTTTCATGCTCTGCTTATATTTTCATTTGAAGTGTCATCTGATAATAGTTATTATTATCATTTTTCAAAATGTGGTGACCAGTGATGATCAACCAGCAAAACAGAACACTTGAGATTTTCCTACCTCTTACCAATTCCGGTTCAATGTGATTTTCCTGTTTTGACCCCTGTCCCTCTCTGGTGTATTTTCCCCTATCCAGACTCCAACAGAGCCTTCTTTCCTTTTTTCTTTTGAGACGGAGTCTCGTACTGTCACCCAGGCTGGCGTGCAGTGGCGCGATCTCGGCTCACTGCAACCTCTGCCTCCCAGGTTCATGCAATTCTCCTGCCTCAAACTCCCGAGTAGCTAGGATTACAGGAGCACACCACCACACCTGCTAATTTCTTGTATTTTTAGTAGAGACGGGGCTTCACTGTGTTGAGCAGACTGGTCTTGAACTCCTGACCTCATGATCCACCCACCTCAGCCTCCCAAAGTGCTGGATTATTTTATTTTTTGGAACCCCATCCCCTCCAGGAGACCTCATCCAATCATTCTGCTTCCTCCTCCTCTCCTCTCCCAGGAAGTTCTCTCCTCACCTGTGAGTAGAAGCTCCTTCCAGGTGATGTGCAGTGTGCAGCGAGGCGCTGAGAGGGGCCCCATGGCTTGTGCCGCCTGCGTGTTCTCCTCTGTGGAGATGAGCCTGGGATCCAGAAACTTTCTGAGCACAGCTGTCAGCTGTGCTGTCCTTCCTCCTTCTGTGCTGAGCCTCTTCCCGGGGCAGGAGCACTTCTCAGGATCATGGGTGGGGTCTGTGCCCAGGACACCTCTCTGTCCCCTCCCCTCTCAGTCCTGCCTCCTTTTCCCTCCTTCTCTTTTTCCTTTTGTCTGTGTGTCAGGTCCCTGGGAATTGTGGAGGCCTCTGTCTTTTTCAGCAGTGATTCTGTCACCAAACCTCAGCAGACACACTATGTGCAGAAACACAAACACACAAAAGAGACACACACAGACACACACAGTCACACACATACCCTGTAGGTTGGGCAAGCACAGTCCTGGGCCTCAGCCTCCTGCTGTCCCCATGGCTCTGGGTCAGGTGCACATTCGCGCCCTTTGCCCTCTTTCATCCCCATCTGGCTCTCCCCTTCAGTGCAGGAGGCTGGATCTGCACCAGGTCCCTGTCACAGGGACACCCCATTGTGCTGTGGGTGAGCTGTGTGTTGCCTGGTGACAGGGACCCTTCCTTTCTCTAATTGTGTCTAGCTTGGCTGCAGCTTCCAAGGATGGATATTCAGGACCTGGGTGTCCAGAGGAAACTGTCCTTCCTGGAGGTGTGCAGGGTGAATCTCTCATGCCTCTTGGGAGAAGAGGCCTGTGCTGGTTGCTCAGTGGGGGCTGTGAGTCCCATGGTCAAAGGACAGTTCTCAGTCACTCTATTGCTCCCTGGGGTCTGGTGGCTGAGCTGGGGCTCAGGGTTTCTCCTTTCTTCCTGACCATCTTTGGTGTCCTCTCTTCTCTGCCCAGCTGATTGTCCTGTGGTCACCACACCTTCCCTGTGGTGGTGCAGGAGGAAGTGGGGAGTTACCCAGGAGCCCTGTGGAACATGGCTCGTTGGGATACAGGAAAGGGAGCCTAGGACAGAGCAGGGGTTCAGAGCTGGAGAGATTCATCCCGACTTACTCCATGGTCGTGATGGGCTCAGCCCTCCATGTGCTGACATACCCAGGGGTCTGTCCTGAGGGTTTTCACCTGTCCAAGATGCTCTCTGTAGAAGAGGAGCAGGCAGTCGCCAGAGAGCCTGTCTGGAGGGACGTTGCTCACACTTGAGAGGGCGGGTGGGGGTGAGTTGTGTTCTGGGAGCAAAGAGCAATAATACCCCCTTCTCCCAGCAGGGTCACAGGAGAGGTCTGTCTTCCCAAGGGACAGCCAGGGGTAGGTGGCCACATCCTGGATGGTGCCTGTGTGTGAGCATCACTGAGCCCCATGGGGTGCAGCGGGCAGGCAGGTCACAGGGTGCCTGACTGATTCCCGGAGAGGCTGTGGGCCCTCAGGCAGCTGCTGTTCTGTGTTAGCGCTAGGCTTGGCTCCATGTTCACTGTTCTCCCTCTTTTACAATCGGATGTCCCAAACGCAGATTTTTGTCACCTTCTGTGAGTTTGTGTTTGTGTGCAGTAGGCAGCACTGTGTACACCCTGGGGGCAGTGATGTCTGGGGCTGAGCACTGCACATGGGCTTGGGAGCAGAAGATGGAGCAGCAGGGTGGGAGGATCAATGCCAGGGGAGCAGGGACAAGTCATTTTCATTTTCTCACTCCCAGGGACCTGAACCCAGGATTCTGACTCCAGGGCACAGTACCACACCCTGCTGGTGTCCCTGGATGTCATGAGTGCCCATAGTGTCATGCTGCTTTGGCATTCCTTTTTTAAGGTGTAAATTTATTTGCCTCACATCAGAGGCAGGCCTTGCTCACCATGGCAGTTTTCAATACTGTATCTGGTTCAAGTTTCTCCAGTTGGTGGCCAGCGATGAACTCTTAGAGGCATCTCTCCTGCTTGGTGTTCTGGGCTCCCCTCTCTCCAGCTGCTTTCTTTAAACGGATAATTCTGACATTTGCCCTCACATTTAAAGTGACTGCTTCTCAGTCACAGCATGATCTCCTTGTCCCAGTGTTTGCTGTTTGCTATCCATTAAAGCTCCCTGCTGGAAACCTGTCAGATAACACCTGGACTTAATAAAGCCATCGGCTTACCAGTTTCTTCTCTCCTGCCTGCCTGGGCTCGCTGACCTCTGTATCTGTGGTTTCCAGGTGTGCTGAGTGCTCTCCAGTGTCTGTAAGTAGTAAAATCACTTACACTTTCACGTTGTGGTTGTATCACTGTAGCCTCACATGCCATCCAGGGCCTGACATCAAGGCTGCCCTGTGGGACCTGTACTGGTTGAGCCCCTGCTGGAGCTCTTGTTTTGGGACCTCTGGTTCTTCTGGGGACAGGAGCTTCCAGCTAACTTGATTGAAAAACTGATGCGTTTCATTGAAAACACTGGGTCAGATGATGTATTCATGGGCTTCAGCTGCCATAACAAACACCTTAGCCTGGGTGAATTAAATAATAGAAATCGATTTTTCACAGTTCTGTGAATAATGTGCTATTTTAACCACTTTAAAATGTACAATCAAGTGGAATTAACCACATACACAATGTTCAGTTCCCATCACCACTATTTTTCCTAGAAAATTTTTATCATTTTAAACTGAAATTTGTATCTTTTAAACAATAATAACTCCCTGTATTTTCCACCATGGACATTGATCATCTCTGTCTCTGTGAATTTGCCTATTCTTGATGTTTCATATAAATGGAATTATATATATATGTTATTTAGTTTCTGACATATTTCACTTAGCATAATGTTTCCAAAGTCCATGCATGTTCCAGCGCATGTCAGAGCCTCATTCCTCTTTATGGCAGATTAACATTCCGTTTTATGTGTTTATTTGTTTATTTATGTGTTGATGAACACTTGGATTGTTTTCATATTTTATCTTTTGTGAGTAATGCTGCAATCAACATTCCCATGTGAGTACCTATTTGAGTCCCTGGATTCAGTTCTTTGGGTATATACCTAGGAATGGATGCTGTTTCATATGAGAATTCTATGATTAGCTTCTTGAGGAACAGCACAACTGTTTCTCCCTGTGGCTGTACCTTTTATATTCTCACCAACAATGTATGAGGATTCCAAATTCTACATAATGCTGCTACCTGTTATTTAACACTTCAAAAGAATGGTAGCCTTTTTTGTAGATATAATGTGGTGTCTCATTGCAGCTTTGACTTTGCATTTTCCTAGTGACTAATGATGTTGAGTATCTTTTCATGTCCTTCTTGACTATTTGTATATCTTCTTTGAAGAAATGTCTATTTGAGTGTTTTGCCCATTTATAAATTGGATGGTTTGTCCTTTTGTTATTGAGTTGTAGCTAGTTCCTTATATTATCTGGACATGAAAACTGCCTATGTGTGATTTGCAAATATTTTCTCTCATTCTGTGTCTATTAATTATTTTCTTGATAATTTCTTTTGATGCCCAAAAGGCTCACATCTTGATAAAGCCCAATTTATTTTTTTTTTCCTGTTTCTCATGCTTTTGTGTGATGTCTAAGAATCCATTGCACATTTGAGGTCATCAAGATTTACCTGTGTCTATTTTTAAGATATTTTTATAGTTATAGGTCTTATATTTAACTCACTGATCCATTTTTTTAGAGAATTGTTTGATATGGTGGGAGGTAGTTATCGAAATTCATTGTTTTGCATGTGGCTATCTAGTTGTTTCTGCACTATCATTTGAAAGGAGAATTGTTTCTCCATTAAATTTTCTTGACACCCTCTTCAAAGAGCAATTAACCTTAAATGTGAGGGTTTATTTCTAGATTCTCAGTTCTATCCCGTTTGTCTTTATGTGTATTCTTATGCCAGCAGCTCCTGTTTTAATAATTATACTCCTTTGTGAGATTTCAAATAAGAAAGTTCAAGTCCTGCAATTTATTTTGGCAAGATTGTTTTGGCTATTCAGGGGTACTTTTTTGAAAGGTGAGGAGGCCAATGTTTCACAATTGGGAAAGCCTTTTCTGTCTTCTTCAGGGGGAAGTTTGGGAGAACCTTTTAAGAAACTTTAAGCAGGTAAATTGTCACCACTTTATTTGCTGAAATGCCATGTTAAAGTGTGCATTGCTGCTTGTGGAAGAATTGTGAGACCCTGGAAGCACTTGCCCACGTGGTGAGAGACAGTGAATTCCACAATGAGTGGCAGAGAGGACATTGTTTTGGGATACAATGTTGTTGGGGGAGTAGTATGCATCTCTACTTCTTTCTATCTCTGTACAGTGGGCATCTCCACTGGACACAGTAGGTTTTGAAATCCTTGTTTATCCTCTGAGGTCTGGGTCTTGGCTTACCTGTTAGCTGCTGTTGAAGGAGGCGTCTGCTAAGACAATGACACCCATGGGAAGAAGAAAGCTTCAGCAGAGTGAAAGTAGCTGAGGCTCAGAGAAGCCAGGAGAGTATGACTCTTAGAAACTATGGGTCAGCAGATGGGTGTCCTCGGGGGTAAATGGGCCACGCCAGTAGCCACTGCAGTGGACTGGAAGAAGGTAAGGGATGCTGGGTATCCCATGTTCTCTCTCAGCTCTCCAGCTGAAGATTTGGACCCTGGGCTGGTACTACCCAGCAGGGGAAGGGTATACAGGGATGGCTGCATATCAGGACCAAGTCCATGTCATCTTCTTAGGCATTGTTACCACAGATGGAGGATTCTGTTCAGAGACCTGGCCTGGACACATGGGAGGGCTGAGCCCACCCCATTCTTTTACAATTATTTTAAGAAAACAGTATTAGCAAATGTGGTACATGTTTTATCCTGCTAGAATCAGTATTACTGTCACATTTTACAATGTGTCTCTTAGGAAATGGTGAGAGCCATCCACACAATATGCATTTAAAGGGGACTCTACTATAATTTCAGCTTTCATACCTTTTTATAGAAACCATCTTCTCTGCAAACACACAGGCAATATTTCTGTGTTAATTTCTACTGGGAACCCTTATGCAAGGTGGAGAGAGCCACATTTCACCCTGAGATGTTATGTAGAAGTTTGAGGTTGAGATGACAACAGCTTCTGTTGTTACCCTCAGAAGCTACTACATGTGAAATTCTAACGACTGCATTATCCTGCCAAGTGAAAGAGGCAGGCATAAGCAAGAACAGTTAAGAGGGGTGAGAGCCTCATCATGATGGAGAGTCTTGTTCTGACATCTTGGGAAAAACTGTCCACAGTGTGAAGTCATCAACTTGTCCTGGTTTGCAGTTTGAGCATCTGTCGTTATGGCGTCAAACATTTTGGTGAGCTCTGAGTGTTTTGCACTTCAGATACAAGGGTTTTCCCATGAAATTTACATTGAGTTGTGCACCTCCAGCTTATAGGTCTTTTGGAACAGAGTGGTTCTTGTTCTTAGTGATTCCATGGGAGAAAATGGAATTGGAGGAGCTAGTGGAATTCAGGGTAATGTCCAGTCTGCAGGTGGATAATAAAAACACAGAAACAATGAACAGAGCTGCAATCTCATATCAAGTATAATACAGTTTTTATTTTCCACATAATTTTTCTCTGTATAGGCATCTCTATTTTTACCAATAATAATTTCAGTAGAATAAATTTGTTTGCAAAATAGGTTGAGTTTCTTCAAACATGGTCTGATTCTTTACATAAGTGTAGCAAGAGTAGCAATGGACCGTGTGGCTCTCTTTTAAAATTTTCTTTGCTCTAAGTTTTTATAAGGAATCTCAGACTAAACTTTTACAAACCTCTTGAGAATAGGAATCCAAACCGAGGCTGACTTCAGACTTTGCCTGCAATTCATATTGGTTCATTCTATCTATATTCTTAAATATAACATCCCGATCAAAGCCTTGGTAATATAACCAATGTTTTCAAATGAGTCCTGTTACAAAGACAGCAGACTGTTACTGTACTTGTGCAAACATCAGTATTATCATAAACATATCAATACTCATGAATAGTTGCCCAATTCTGGGGCAGTCAGGTAGAGAGCAAAAGTCAATGTTTCAATTATTGTTCCCAAAAGTATAGTTTATTGAACTATGTAAGCTGTAGATAGATTAAAAGAAAAAAATTCAGTAAATCTAGAAAACAAACCATTTAAAGAATCAGCAAATTTTCAAATAAAAATAATAAAAACATTATCCTCATTATTATCATTTATTTCAATGAAATCAATGTTTTTCCTGCTTGGTCTAGGCTGGGAATTTTATGAAGATATCAGCCTGTTTGTTAAACTTTTGGAATTTCTTAGACAGTTCAGCAGTATAATCTTAAAATTATCAGAAACTTGTATTAAAGTGTATTTGCCAGCATCTTTTCCATAAATCTCCTTGAAAAGGAAGCAATTTTGGACTGTGGTTGATTGGAAATGCTTTGAGGAAGAATAAAAACAACTGTGAATGACAAAGATTTTAAATGACTATGTTTAAAACTCTGATGAGAATTCATTATGATAATGACACAGCTCACATAAAAATTTAGTTACTTCTGTGGTATGTGACATTATGGCTGATAACATATTTCTAGAAATGTCATATAATTTTTGGAACAATCATATCAGTAACATACCCATAAATATAACATAGAGAAGGTTTAGCATCCCTTATCACTTATTATTTTAAAATGCTTTTCATATAATTTTACGTATCAAATGAAGTGGATTTTCCATGTAGCTTGTGTTTCTCAACAGGATCACTGAGTTCTTGGTGGAGCCAATTAATGAATAGGGCCAAGAAAGTATAGGCTTATATATGTTGAAAAATTTCCCTAGGTAATTCCAATACTCCCAGCTAATAATCATTAATTTAGGTCTAAGTTTTACCTATTAGAACAGGTGTTCTTTATCCTGGTTACACATTGGTAGCATCTGGGAAGACTTAAAAATTACCAATTATCAGGGGAACCAGCCCCCAATATTTCAATGTAGGTTCTTTTCTATTTTCCCTAAGTGTCGGCCAGTGTGAGAAATAAAGGGAAAGAGTACAAAAGAGAGAAATTTTAAAGCTGGGTGTCTGGAGGAGGCATCAGATGTCGGCAGGGTTCTGTGATGCCCCCGAGCCGTAAAACCAGAAAGTTTTTATTAGCAATTTTCAAAGGGGAGGGAGTGTACAAATAGGGTGTGGGTCACAGAGATCACATGCTTCAAAGGCAATAAAATATCACAAGGCAAATGGGCAGGGCAAGGTCACAAGGCCAGGGTGAAACTAGAATTGCTGATGAAGTTTCATGTCCCACTGTGCACGTATTGTCATTGATAAACATCTTAACAGGAAACAGGGTTCAAGAGCAGAGAACCGATCTGACTAGAATTTGCCAGGCTGGAATTTCCTAATCCTAGCAAGCCTGAGGGCACTGCAGGAGACCAGGGTGTGTTTCATCCCTATCAACAACTGCATAAGGCAGACACTCCCAGAGCGGCCATTTTAGAGGCCTCCCCCTGGGAATGCATTCTTTTCTCAGGGCTGTTAATTATTAATATTCCTTACTGGGGAAAGAATTCAGTGATATTTCTCTTACCCAGTTTTGGCAATAAGAGAAATAACCCTGTCCTGCCCGGCTCCCAGGCAGTCAGAACTAATGGTTATCTCCCTTGTCCCCTGAACATCGCTGTTATTCTGTTTCTTTTCTAGTTGCCCAGATTTCATATTGTTCAAACACACATGCTCTACAAACAATTAGTGCAGATAACGCAATCATCACAGGATCCTGAGGCGACATACATCCTCAGCTTACGAAGATGACGGGATTAAGAAATTAAAGTAAAGACAGGCATAGGAAATTATAAGAGTATTGACTGGGGAAGTGATAAATGTCCATGAAATCTTCACAATTTATGTTAAGAGATTGCAGTAAAGACAGGCGTAAGAAATTACAAAAGTATTAATTTGGGGAACTAACAAATGTCCATGAAATCTTCACAATGTATGTTCTTCTGCTGCGGCTTCAGCTGGTCCTCCATTCGGGGTCCCTGACTTCCCACAACAACCAATGCCTGAGTCTCACTTTAGACCATAAATTGAATCCTGTGGGTGGGGCTTGGGCATCCATTTAAATAAACGTTTTCCAGTGATTCCAATGTGTAGCTATATTTCCCATCAGATTTCTCTGATTTCTTGTGGCATTCACTTTTTTCTATTTTGGTATTATAATTATTTTTTGGGTCTTATCATCTATCTTGGGCTTTCTGTTCCTTGGGGTAGAAACTTTGCATTCTTCATTTCTGTATCTTTCATGAACATATGAGTTGGTTACCAGGAAAAAGGTTTTCAATCACATGTAGGTTGTGTTCTGAGTCTCAGGTTTACATATTAATGCTAGAGTCAGTTTTCCAGGAGGTCAGAGGTTGTTTGTGACGAAGGGTATGGGTAAGCCCGTAATGCAGATGGCAGATGGGAGATCACCCTGTTTTTAGCCATAGCATTGGAACTAAGAATTCTATGTGTATACCAGGTGGAGGGGAAGGGATATGTAGAAAGACAGATTTAATTAGAATGGAGGAATTATACTAGGGAATAGAGATAATGGAAGCAATAAAAATTAGTAAAGAGAAGAAATGTGAACTTATCAAATAGGCAAGAGTAGACCCCTGAAGATTTTTGATTAGGTGAGTTAACTAGAATTTAGGAAGGTAATAAGGCAGCCATACACAAGGACGATTTCAAAGACTGGAGGTAAGACAAGCAGTACCTCTAGCAGTTGTCGAGGTTGTGGGAATGGAGAGAATGACAAAAGTTGAGAGATATTAAAAAGGATCAAGAGGGTTTTATAACGTATTGTTGAATCTGGGAAACAAATGAGCAGAGGCTGGGGATAATTATGTCTAAGAGGCACTGGTGGGTACAGGGAGCATGAAGAACAGGGGAAAAGAGACCTGCAGGAATAAGTGCTGAGAAGCAGATGATTAGTGGGAGGAGGAGGAGATCCAGTCCCAAATACAAGCAAAGAAGTTATTTCCCTCTCCCAAGCATGGGAGTCAGCCCTGCAGGAAGCAGGACAAAAGGAAAGGCTGTCATACCTGCCAGTCTTCCTGAAATAAACTACACCAGGGCTGCTATATCAGAGCCACACCGGCAAGTACTCCAATCATGATGCCAACAGTGCCTCTAGCTGAGAGGCCAGGAAAACTTCCTTGTACTGAAGTATCTGCCATGGAAAGAAAAGAAGACAAGGAATAAAGGTGATGTTATTTTACAGTGCGATACCTTAGGAACCATCACTCAGTATGAAGTAGTTTCTACTTGTTCCTTCAAGGATTATATTGATTTTGTAGGAGGGTTGCTGATAGATGATTAGCCAACTATGCTCTTGCAGGGTTTTTTTTTCTCTCAACGTGTTTCTAGGTTAGTGATCAGTCTTCTGTCAATTTCATCCTGACCATGCTGCACTCAGATATTTTTGAAGGCTTTATGATGTGAGAAGCCTGCCAGGCCAAATCCACATAACCCGAGGCCAGGCCTCTCAGTCCCTCTCAGGTCCAAGTATGAAGACACTTACCCCTAGACCCCAGGGGTAAGTAAAAGAGGATACTCATAGAGAACATCCAGGTCACTGGGTCACTGAAGGAAAAGAGGATACTCATAGAGAACATCCAGGTCACTGGGTCACTGTGGCTGGTACTCACTACATCCTTCATTTGACATTCACAGAGTCCTGTGTCACTCCTTGTGACACTGAGTAGAGCAAGGATCCTGTTGTCATTGGACATCTGCAGCCTGGGACTGACTGTGAGTCTCTGACCGTTTATCCACCACATGTAGATTGTGCCATGAGTCTCAGGTTCACAGGTTAAGACCATAGCCTTCTCATCCTCTACGGGGTTGCTGGTGACATAAGGCTTGGGCAGATTTGCTGTGCAGATAACAGAGAAGATTCCTCTGTGTGGCACCATTGATTTCTCCATGAGCATTTTCCAATTAGAGTTGACATCTCCCACCTCTCAGCCAATCTAAGTCCTTGAAAGTCCACAGCAGGTCTGTGTGTCAAAAGACAGATGCATGATGATCTGAGGGCTCAGAGACCATGGGGCTACCTGCTCTGTGTGGGAGAAGCACAGACTTCTGAAGTGTGATTCGAGCAGCAACACTGGTGAAGCATGAATTGAGCAGGGTCAAACAATTAGAGTTTGATTAACTTTGTTTAAATTGGGCAGAGTCTCAGAGAGGCAGCAGTGGCTCATGCATCTCCCCACCCGAAGGACCCCACCTTATGACAATATTGTTGTTATGAATACACAGGTGTGTATGAAACAGGCAGTAAATCAGACAGCACCCATGGTCCTAGGAACCACCAGTATTCCCATTATGTGTATGTTATAGCCTTTTAGGCTACAAAATATAAAATACAACTACAGAATATAAAATATGCTATTGTCAATACAAAATATTGAATATGAAGCTGAATATGTTGTTCTACTTTTTTTTCTCTTGCTAAACTTTGCTGTTTCCATTTTGGAAGTTTCTACTGACACATGCTTAAGCTGGAGATTCTTTCCTCAGCTATGTGCAGCCTACCAGTAAGTCCTTGGAGGGCATTCTTTATTTCTCTTAAAGTGTTTTTAATCTCTAGTATTTCTTTTGGTTCTTTCTTAGAACAGCCATCTCTGCTTAAATCATCCGTCTATTCCTGAAAGGTGTCTACTTTTTCCATCATAATCCTTAACCAGAGTTGTTTTAAATTTTCAGTCTGATAATTTCAACATCCCTACCACATTTGTGCCTGGTTCTGATCCTTGCTCTGTCTTTCAAACTGCATTTTCTTTTGCCATAGTCTGTCTTGTATTTTTTTGAAAACCACACATGATGTACTCGGTAAAAGCAGCTTGAGTGAGCAGGCATTCAGTGATATGGTGGTGAGTGTGGGGAGGGAAGTGTTCTGTGGTTCTGGATGAGATCTGTGTCCTGGGCTGTGAATGTCACAAGTGCCTCTCAGGATTTTCTTTCCATTAGGTGGGATATGATGACTTGAGGAGGCTGGAGTTGGATAGTTCCCCTCCCCCTGGCCAGTTAAGCTCCCATCAAACCCCAGCTAATTAGGCTGCAGTAAAATAGTTTCTCTTAAGTATAGGTCTTTCCAAGAAGAATATAATTCACTGACAACTTTCCAAGTGGTTTTTTTTCCTTCTTCCTACAAGAAGGATGTGGGGATTCTTTTTGGACATTGACTGTGAGAACGTGGTAGAGCTCCAGGAGCTAAGAGTCATAAAACTGTCCCCCTACTCCCAAAACTAATCCATCCACTGGTGTGTTTATCTCTGCACTGTGTCCACATTGAGCCTCCAGAATTTCCTCAATTACAGTTCAGGTTTTCTGACCCCAGCACTGGTTCCCGCTGGGGTTTCTGTGGCTGTGTTTCTGCTCAGGTACGGTGTGCTGCTCTGTATTTGCCTGTGGGTCTCTCCAATATGTGGGCCAGTTAGCACTGAGACCTTGCTTCTCTGAGAAATCTAAACGAGTTGTGGATTTTTCAGTTTGTTCAGGTTTTTACTTGTTAGAACTGAGTGAAAAATTTTAAGCTACTTACAAGCCCGACGGAAATTAGAAGTCTCTAGGGCATGACTGGAGGATGTGAGCCCCACAGCATGTTGAGGATGGAGTCATGAGTGAAATGGGTGAAATGAGCCCATGGACTTTGGAAACTGCAGGTCTGTCCTTCTGCCTCTGACGACCCCCTAGTGAGTCAGTGTAGAAAGCGAAACCACCTTTGCAAAGCTTGCGATGGTGAGAGAAAGCTAGCTTGGCCGACCCCATCTCACCTCCAGCCTCAGGCTGGCTGTCCTCTCTCATTCCTGGGCATAGGCCAGGGTAACTATGGGAGGAATTTATTGTTTAATTTTGAAGCAAGGATGATAATAGTCCCTCTCTAAAATTAGCTCCTTCCTTGTCAAGGACTACCTTCTAAATCTTGTCAAGATTTGGATTATGGGAGGGGCCCAAATTCTGCTACAATGCAGGCATAGTTTCTATAATCTCTTACTGCTCAGGAGTCATGTGTCCAGAGGTCACAAGATTTGTGACTTTCCTAGTTGCTCCTAGAGATAGCAACACTATTGTTGAACCTGAGATTTGTCTTGTGAGACGTTTCTCAGACTTTTGCATTCTGGCAACCAGCTGACCTCATCTAGACCCATGACTAATGACTCAACCAGTCATGTGGCCCCCACTCAGAAGCACATTCAACAAATACAGACCATTTCCCCTACCTGCATGATTTCATCTCCAGCCAGTCAACAATATTTATTCCTTAGACCTCTGCCCCTCAAAGTTTTTGAAAAACTCTAACCTCTGAACCATTGGGGAAGCTGATTTGAGTCATAATAAACTTCTGTTCTCCTGTTTGGCAGCCTTGGGCTAAGTAGAACCATTCTTTTTTTTTTTTTTTTTTTTTTTTTCACTGTGCTCCCAGGCTGGAGTGCAGTGGCCTGATCTCGGCTCACTGCAAGCTCCGCCTCCCGGGTTCACGCCATTCTCCCGCCTCAGCCTCCCAAGTAGCTGAGACTACAGGCGCCCGCCACCATGCCAGGCTAGTTTTTTTGTATTTTTAGTAGAGACGGGGTTTCACCATGTAGCCAGGATAGTCTCGATCTCCTGACCTCGTGATCCACCCGCCTCGGCCTCCCAAAGTGCTGGGATTACAGGCTTGAGCCACCGTGCCCGGCCGAACCATTCTTTACTACACATCACCTTCTCAATAAATTGGCTTTGCCTGTGAAGAGGACAAGAACCTGTCAGGTGATTATAAGAATGGATAGAGGAGTCACTGATTTATTTCCGGTGGCCCATTTTATGAGCCAGCCTCTCAGAGGGAAAGAGCCCTGGACTGGGACACAGTGGAAGCTCATTCTCTTGGTGACCCAGGGACATTGCCTCATTATGGAGCCTGGCAGGGGTGGCTGCTCTGGCTGATTTTGGTGCATTTCTCATTTCCCAGAAGGCAGGACAGGCCTCAGTGTGAGCAGGAAGGGAACGGAACAGTCAGCCTTGTTAGAGAGGATGTCTGGGGAAGTCCTCAGGGTGGAGGAAGCTGTGCAGGACAGGGCTTGTCAGTTAGAATGAAAGGAGGATGCACTTTTTTCACTGAACACCTTTCAGACACCTCACCATCTCTGGCCTCACTGGATTCTGCCTTTCCTCCTGAGCCCTGAGCCCTGCTTCCTGGGAGGGAGGGAAGGAAGGAGGGAGGGAGGGATGAAGGGTGAAGCTGGAATGTGTGCTGTCCAGGTTTCTCCCATCTTTGGAATCTTGACAGTGAGGGACCCTAATGTGTTACCACAGAGGAGACTATGGGAAAAAACTGTTTCTCAGGGGTGCCTGGTTTGAAGTGAGAAGAATTCAGACCGGGTTGGACGCGTGAACTACAAGGACCCTGTTCCATGTCAACAACCAGCTCCTCTAGCTCAGTGCTTCCATGGCTCATTCTCTTGTGTGATTTCTGAGCCCATGCTAGAGTCTTCCTCACAATGCCTGATGGTCAGACCAGTGTGGGGAGACCTAATGGGGGGGTCTTGTGTGCTCACAGAGTGTCCAGGGAACAGGCTTCGTGACTTCCTCTGCTCCAACCCCACAACAAGATCTGGATAGTGGGCTGGGTCAGATAAAGTCAGAATCCATGGGGGAGGGTATGTGTCCTGGCAGTGCTGAGGTTCATGCCTCCAGGTTAGCTCTCAGTCTCTGCAAAGACATTTATGTTGTGCATGTGTTGTTTACTGGACTGTCTCATGTCCCTAAATTCTTGAACCTGCCTGCAGATAATATCATGAGGGGTCTGCATAGAAGTGCATGAGGGCTATCTGATTAGGGTGGGTGTGTTTCACATAGTGGGCTTTTTTTCACCACTTTTCAAAACATTGTGCTTGAGTGTATATATAGAAACACATACATACTTATATTCATTAGATGTGAATATATATAAATATATAGATACATATATCTATAAATATACACACACATATATGCGTATATACATATACGTATATGTGTATACATGTATGTGTATATACATATATACATATACAT